TCTATTAACACAAATTAGTTCAACTGATAGTTCTTCATACCGATATAAAACTTGGACTACTAGTATTTGAACTTGTTGCTTTATCATTGATAGTCATTAAAACCCTATTTGTATGCAGAATACTTCATAAGTATGATATGCTTGTGTCTCATTAATTTTTCTTATATTTAACGAAAATATATGTTTAAACTAAAACCCATTCGTACATTTTGTTATAAACAGTATTTTTATATTGCTACACGTCTTATTTTGCAGTGTTGGTTCTATGAATACGATTAGACCATTCGGGATAAACATGTAATATCCAAACTGGATATAAGTAGGGGAGTAGGTACCAAATTTGTCTTATCTTATAAAAACACAATTATGTGTTAATAAGACAAATCTATCATTGAATATTTTATCGTAAAACTGCTTTGAATTCCTGGTTTAGATATTTGATGATTAAGGCCTGAAATGGGATCCAAGTGACATTGGGTTTGGACAAGTTTATCACCAAAGCTACTGACATACATCCCTGTGTCAAGTTACCTATGAAATATAGAAAACCTAAAGTACCTTCCTTGATACTTCCAGCTCTCTAATGATTGGCATCATATCGATAGGCATGTACTCTAAGCATATTTATACCCACACATACCTATCTCTAAAAATCTGTCGTCCTTTTCAATGGATTAAATACATTCCTTTCAATCAAGCATTCAGTCGTGTAAATATGTTCCAAATAAACTCATCATAGATACCAGGACTCAAATTTTGTACGCCAGACGCGCGTTTCGTCTACAAAAGACTCATCAGAGACGCTCGAATAAAAAAAATTAAAATAGCCAAATAAAGTATAAAGGTTTTGCCAAATACAGCTATGGTAATCTATTCCTGGGGTAGAAAATCCTAAGTATTTCGAAAAATTCAAAGTTTTATAAACAGTTAATTTATAATTATGACCATATCAATGATAATTAACGTCACAGAAGTGATGACTACTGGCCACCACAGAATTAACCAAATAATGACTGAGTCTCCTGAAAAAAAAAACCTTAAAGAGAAGAGGTTATATAAACACAAGTTATTATGAAGTTTTCAGAAAGCAGAGAGTATCCGAAGGAGCAAGTAGTGAACTAAACTTTGTAAAATGCCGAATACCACTACATGCTGTTATTTCAAAATCGAATCATCCACCAATTGGTCAATCCTTACTACACATACTTCGGCAGTTGCAATGATTGACCATTATATAAACATTTTGACGAGTACTCATTTTGGTTAATTTTGTACTACGTTTACAAATCCCTCTGGCAATGTAACTTTGCCTCTTTCCGTATTTGCTTAAAACAACGTCAGTCGAGATGAACTTTTAACAGCATAAAGAAAAAAGTATCATGTGTTATGCCTTATTACTATACATTGTATATTAAGGAACAGACACATGTAATTCGATAGAATAGAAAGGATTGCAGAAACAAAACTTGCAAAACAATCAAGGATTTTCCTCTAATAAATAATTCTTTTAAATTTCCCGTCAACAAGACATGTTTCTCATACTTGTGACGTTAAACCTTATATTCTGGTTTCATTCACCATATACCTCAGTATAAACACGACTAACATATTCAACATTATCAAAATAAGGAGATGTGGTATGATTGCCAATGAGACAACTATCCACCAAAGTTCAAATGAAGTGGTTCACCAGAAATCGATCATTTAAATCAACATCTTAATCCTTAAGGGTTTTCTATGCACCTGTTAAGTATGCTCATCCATTCAAACATTTTCTTTACTGTTATGACAAAACGAGTGAGGGAGAATTAACGATGAGATTTAGATATCTCTTTTTACCCCACATTTATAGTAAGCAATTATAGGCAACCGTACGGCCTTCAACAATGAGAAACCCCATACTGTATAGTCGGCTATAAAAGACCCCAACATGAAAAAATATGAAACAATTGAGTTCCTTCAGACACTTGTCAAAAACAAGAAGATCAAAGAAGCCTAGTCATTTAATTTCACATTCAGATATATTGATGACGTTCTTTCCGTTAACAATCCAAACTTTTCTGATTAGGTTCCATTAACATATCCCCCAGAACTAGAAATTAAAGAAACAACAGACACGGCTTCCTCGGTCATCTCAGTACCAGAATCTATAACGAGACGATTTTAATTTTGAGATTATCAACTTCCCTCACCTTAGTAGCCATATACAAAATTCACCTGCATATGGGATATACTTTTTAATTCCAACTTATTCGGTATTCAAGAGCTTGCAGCTGCTACTCAGACTTTGTAAAACGTCACCAGTGTCTGAGCAGAAAGTTGATGAACCAGGGGTATGTCAAAGAACGTCTCGTCCTTTTTCTAAAAAAAGTTCATCGGAAGGTACCAAGACCTTGTTGATAAATATTCCGTATCAACTTCACAAATAATACACGATGGTCTTGAAGTATAGATTCTGGGTACTGACGTTGTTTATCATCTTAATAACGTGTTATAGTATTCTTTTATTTGTCTTTTTGTATATTACTTTTACCATTTGGTCTATTTTTGGTGATATCAATTTGATGTGTCTCGGTACTTATACATCCCGTCATTGTGTTATTGTGCTATGGTAAATTTATGTATTCTTGTCTTTCATTTTTGTTTGTGTGCTTTGTCTATATGCCTTTTTGTGTTTCTTTGTTAAATATTTGTTTGTTTTTTTAGTGATTAAGATTATAACACAATGTTGACTGTTGTACTCCTATTTTGACATTTTTACCTATTATGTCTGTTTGTTTTGTTCACACATCGTTGTCAATATAATGGAATTTTATGCGACTGTCATACAAGTGAGAGGTTTAGCAAGCTATAAAACCAGGTTTAATCCACCATTTTCTACATAAGAAAATGCCTGTACCAAGTCAGGAATTTGACTGTCAAAGTTGTTATCCATTCGTTTGGTGTGTTTGGGCTTTTGATTTTGCCATTTAATTAGGGACTTTTCGTTTTGAATTTGCCTCGGAGTTCGGTATTTTTGTGATTTTACTTTTCAATCGCTTATACTTTTAAACATGCACATTGAGCGGAGGAAATTAAGTTCGTCGCCGAGTCAGCGTCGTTGTCAATCTAATTAAGGAAGAAAAGTGCGATTGTTGTAGTTCACAGCAACTGCGGTCAACCGAGTAATGTGTTGTTCTTTTCAGAAATAGAAGTGCGTCCATATAAATTGAGATTATTATCAATGTATTACACACATTGAAGTTAAGAAAATCTTATCCTAAAGCGATGATAAGGAAACGGGAATCATGGAAAGGAAGGTATCACTGAGAAAAGTATACTTTTAGTGAGTTCAAAATCGAATAGTTCGGACAGATATTGCAACCAACATAATGGCAAGGAATTCAAATTTGATTATTTTCTAATGTTTGATCTAACATCTAACATATGATATCTGCATCATAAAACAGTTGCGGATTCAATGGGGGGGGGGGGGGGGTAGAGGGTACCCCTCCCTCAAATTCGATCGCCCCAAAGACAATTATATCCTGTTTTTCTCGATTTAGAATAAAACCGTAGAAACAATGTTCGTCTCGCTTCGCTCAGTGGTATGTAATCCGTTTTAGGGACTTACGCCCCCATTTCAAAAATCCTGGATCTATATCGGCCTGTAAAAGAAACACTTACAATATTTTAAACAAGCCATACCAGTATAGTTAGCATTATCATAAAAACTGTACTGTATCGTTTATCACGAAATTAACTGGTTATTATAGTTAGAATAATCATTCATAGTTTTCAAGACTTTTTTGTATGCATCGCATAACGCTAAAAATACTTAAGAGATTGAAAACATAATTATGGTGAAACACTCAAGTCAAGTCAATCAGATACTTACTTATCGGTAAACAGAAATATTGGTCCAGAGAATTATCTTAATGTGATTAAAAACTTTCATTATAGAAAAGCATTTTGCAAGAATAACGTCATATAACTTATTAACCAAACTGGAAGATGTGAAAATATATAAAATACATATCTAGAGAAAATAGTAGTTGATGTAAATGTCAAAAAAAAAAAATTAATCACATTTTTTATTAAATTGACACTACAACAATGAGTGAAAGCAAGTTTTTACATCTTATAAGTAAAAGCAAACAAAAACGCGTGTTAAATTAAATGAGGAGGAATGTTCTTCTATATATCAAACAATGAGGACAAAATTATTTTATATTGTGTGCAATTTTTATTAGATCATTTGCCTAATACATTATTTGTTATGAATCCTTACCTAAAATATGTAATATGTGTATGACTTTGTTTGAATGTTACAGATCAAGACTTTTACAACATGGACAAGGCAAATTATTCATTCTTATAAATATTCATAAAAGAAGTTTTTTTTTTTCTTTTCTTTTCTTATTTACATTCTATCAATCAAGTAATTCTTTCCCTCGGTATTGTTCATCTGTACTTGTTTAATTGTTTAGTGTATTAACCTCATGTTGCCCCTTCTAGGCCCATTAATTTTGAATAAAGTATATTCTATTTCATTATATTCTTTAACAAATCTGTTTTATTACACTGTTTCCAAAACAGTGTCTTAATCAGATCATCACCAGTGGTCCTTAACCAATGGTATAACCAAAATTCAATAGTGTGTGTGTTTGGTTGATTCCATACATTTCTCTGATCTATATCTGTATAATCTTTGAATGAGTTTTTGTTTTAATTGTTATGTCTAATCAACAATTGCCTCATATCACTTTTATTCTAGAAATTCCATATATTGTTGACTTTTATGTTAATCCAGTACTTTTATCAGGACAGTGGCTTATTTAAATTCATTATTCGGCAATACGTAGTTTAATACAATCAAATATTCCAATCTTCCTGTATACCAGATGTATACTATTCATCAGATTGCAAATTGATTTTTTATTCGGACATTAAAAGAAATGTGACATCACACACACATGTCACCAAAAGATGTCTTAAGGTACAATGTAATAATCAGCAAGCTTTCTCATCTTTAGAGGATTCCATGGAGAAGTGAAATTCTAATCAAAATGTTTTAGTATTTATTTATACCGTAATAATGTTTGTTTACATTCTACAGGATATTAACCATGGTTGACCAGAAATTGATCATTTAAATCAACATCTTAATCCTTAAGGGTTTTCTATGCACCTGTCAAGTATGCTCATCCATTCAAACATTTTCTTTACTGTTATGATAAACGAGTGAGGGAGAATTACCGATGAGATTTAAAATATCTCTTTTACCCCACATTTATAGTCAATATTTCAATTCGGATTTATTTTCACATTGTGTCACTGTAAACCCATTAAATAATTTGATTGTTATATGATATTTTGTACAACCAATAGCCGGATACCGCCTGGTGTATCTGTACATGTGCATTTGTGTTTTTTCAAGTACAATTGTATTGTTAGTTTTATGTCAGTGAAACCTTTTGTGATGGTTACGTTGTATGACAGTCAAAGGGAAATGATAAAGATCGGACAATAGTATTATTAACGTTTTACGAAACAAATAACAACAACTCTACCTAGAATGATCCTGGTGCGGTATTGGCTATGAATTCATACTAATCGTCAGTATGTGATTGTGAAATGATTACAGTGTCGCATATTATTCATGAGAGCCGTTATTCACACCTTCTTACCTTCACAGCAAACCATAATCATTATATTTATCTAAGGTAGGAAATATGTTTAAATTATTATTTTTGATTTTAGTTATCAAACAGATTTCTTAACTTCTTTTTTAGTCGATTTTATTTCAAAGTAGTGTAACAATATGTAAAAAATAAATCTCATTTTTTCTTTATATTTTGAAGAAGTACCTTCGTTGATTAAATATATTTTCTCACAATATTTATAAACGGGAAAACAATAAGTAAGTTCAAATGGAAAAATTGTAAGCAAAAGGAGACATTTGTACAAAAACAGACTAAAGCAGGTTTTAAACTCGCTATACCGCCAATTCTGTGACACTGACAATTAATCCCAATATATATTCAACCAGACTTTGGAGGACACATTCATATCGAATTATAATAAGGGAAAATACACGTATCTTTTAAATTATTCACATCAATAGCATAAACAAACAGACTCATTTTTATTTACATTAATGTGAAAATGCAACAATACACATGATATTAATGGTTATTCGAAAAAAATGAATATGCAAATAAATTTCATGTTGCAAAAGAAGTAAAATAACTCGTGCTTAACAGCACAAAAGCCGCCATTTTTAAAATGAATTTGAAATGCAGCTGTAACATTGTTTTCTATTTAATCGTTTATTAAATAATAAAAACTCAGTAACTGTAGTACAGCATTTCTACTTCTTTTATCTTCTTTTTTTTGTGTTATTGTTAAAATGATTACATAGACCTTATCGCTATTTGGAAATCTGCGACACTCGACCCGAGAATATGCAACACTTGAACTGGACTTTTCCTTTGTGGCGTCAAAAATTTTCTCTTGTGACGTAAACATTTTACGGGAAGCTCTGTGTGATGACCTGCAATGGCGGACAAATATCGATAAGTTCGCGTACCGACATGTACTAAAAAAATGGCATTATGCGTCATTATGAAAAAGCAAGTCAACTTTACGATAAATGAAGAAACAATCATGGACAAGGTTCTTGAATCGGGATAGACAGATTATAACGAGTGGCAGGTTTTTATATCTAAATCAGTCCCTCTTAAGTTATTGCTATCGTTAGCTGATTTATATTTGTACCAAAATTACAAATAAGTCGTGGGTGATTACCCGTTTTTGTATAAAAAAGGAGATGTGAAATGATTGCCAATGAGACAACTATACCCAGCAGAGATCAAATGACGTAGATGCTAGTAACTATAGGTCACCGTTCGGCTTTCAAAAGTGAGCAAAACCCATACCACATTGCAAGCTATAAAAACACCGAAATGACAAATTGACTGAATAGGCACATACAAAAATGTGGCTGGGTGGGACATGTTTGAGGATGTTCAACTCCACCACCCCCCTAATCTGGGACATCGGTGTAACAGTACAACACTGATGATAAGAACATAGCCTGTTAAGTTTGCACTGTTATATGTTACATTTTTGAGTTTCGTATATTAATGTGTTTCAAAACAGAAACGTCATAAATGATTAAAAAGTCTAGCTTCACGGTTAACGAGACAAAGTAGTTAAAAGCAAAATACGATAAACAAGACAGTGGTTTTGTTTCATCAAATTATATTAATACTAGAACTTTTGAAAATTTAATTAAATTTTACAACTGCGCTTGCATGTCAAACCGCAGTGAAAACATCAAACAGAAGAATATGATAAATGCAGAGTTTATTAATGTAAAATAAAATGCTAATTAAAGATTGATTTGAAAACAGCGCTATATTATGTACCTACCTATATAACTACACAAACTTATCATTCAAGACTTTGTACATAGGCTAAATCTCGTGACAGCACGCGACTCCCGAGATTTCATCGGAGGATTTGTTGAAGTACGAATTGAAATCGTAAAATGTTTTTAGTCGCCCAAAATCTATATAATTAATACATCCAATACCCTTTCGAGAAGCTATTTTTTTGTACGTTTTATGCCATAATTGTACTAGCAGAACATAAAATATGTACTTACACACCAACACTCTTCTTGTGAATTGGCTGATTTTTAAATCGTGATGTTATATTTTCCTTAAAATAAGAAAAAAGTGAAACAAAAGAAATAAAGAAGTTTGAAAATCAATGAGAGAACTGTATTGTATTTCAATAGATAATATGCCCATCAAATGAGCTTACTTAGTATCTGTCTATAATATTGTATATATCTGGTTACATAATGATGTAGAAATATTATTGTTACACACATTTATATTTGTGGTAAATGAATGAAATAAAGACATGTGACCATAGTTTGTAATGTAACTCTAACGATGGTTTACAGATTAGTTTTGGATAACAAAATATATAATAGATGTGCGTTATAGAAAGTACAGAAAATATGATATTATAGCATTTTGCTGATCATACGGATTATATGAACAATAAATAAATAGCTACTTAAAGAGAGAAATCTGAAGACACGTCGGCTTACAGTAAAGCCATTTAAGATCGGGAAAACAGTTTTAAGTTTCCGGTCGCTTTAAAGAAAGCTGTACAAGCTACATGTAAGTACCAAAATAGCTGCGTGTGTAAGAGTGAAGAGACTTGCATTTAGTATTGTCTTGTCTGTCTGTCTTGTAAAACATTGGTGGATTCAGGGGGTCGTAGGGATCGTGTGATTGGTAAACATATCATTTTTAGTATAAAATCGTCCAGAAATATTTCCGTTCATTATATACCCCTTTATAAAATTACTCCTCTTCCCTTCGTAAATTACTGTCCCGTCCTTGAAAAACAATAGCAATTGTCTATAGTGCGTACTGTAATCAGTTATAATCTAACACAAAAGGCCATGTTTGAGATTTTGTCGCATTTATCTAGATAAAGGGAACTACAAATACGAGCTTCCTAAAATGTGTGCTTATGCTTTACGTGAATATGCTTTACTGTGTAATATGGTTTATGATTTATTACGCCTAAACTTTCTTTTCAACGAATTCTTAAAGTAGGGGTAGTATTTGTGAGCAATACATCACAGTTCTACTTGTTCGTTCTAAATATGCACGAAATAGTTACAAATCCACGTTATGTATATAATAATCAATCAATTTATACATGTTCAATATCTAATTCTTATTTCTTAGTTGATCAACTGACTATGCTTTACAAATACTATAAATATTTGCTGTAGAACATAATAATAAAAATAATTATATGCAATATATTGAAAACGGTATTTCACATCCTAAATTTTACGGTAATATTGTACTTAAAGCGGGGAAATCACTATGTGATCCGTGTAAACTCATCGAACCTTTAAACAAACTTATTAGTTAGGGTAATCTTACCAAAGTTGTAATTAGATCTTTGAATATAATTTACATTGGCACAAACATCGATTTTGTCATCAGCAAATTAAAACATAACTAAATTTGTATTCTTTTCAAACGTTTTTTTTTTTTGGGGATGTATAAATACACATCCACGTTCATTTTCTATATAGATATTACTCTATCTATATATTACTTTATACAGTTATATTTATTAACAGGTTAACTACTAACTATCCCACTGCCTGTCGATACTTTTATTTTGGCATTGCACAAGTCATGCCTTCTTTGACTGTCCATGACGTTAAAACACTAAATCCATGGGATGCGTACTTTCGTGACTGTTAATTTGACCTGTTGATACAATTTGTAATGTATTTTTGTTATTTAATTTTACTTATTCAGTGTTATATCTAGTTTCACTATTTTTAATATATACCACCTTTGATAGGTGTTTAGTATGATAATAATTTTTAACTTTTGTTCTCGTTCTAGGAACAACAAAATTATTTATCTTGTAAAAATTATTTCCGTACTCGATGTATACCTTACAACCTTACACCAAAATTATTTTTATTTACCTGTGTACGTTATTGTATTTGGCGGTATTTTGTCCAAGGTTATGGTTGTCTTTTTGATATTGTTTTACATCTAACCCCCTTGTTTTATTAATTTTGTATTTACATCGTGTCATTGATAAAATTTATTCGTTCAGTGTATGTTCACTTGTTTTTGTTAATATGTCTTTTGATTGAGTTAAGCTATTTCAATTGATATTTTATAGTGTGTCTTTCTATGTTGTGATGTTACACTATTGTTTCGGGTAGGGTGAAGGTTGGCTCCTATTAAAACGTTTAAACCAGCTTCATTTGTTTGCACCTGTCCTAAGTCAGGAAAACTGATGTTCAGTGGTTGTCGTTTGCTGATGTGGTTTATACGTGTTTCTCGTTTCTCGTTTTTATATAGATTAGACCGTTGGTTTTCCTGTTTGAATAGTTTTACACTAGTCATTTTGGGGCCCTTTATAGCTTGCTGTTCGGTGTGAGCCAAGGCTCCGTGTTGAAGGCCGTACTTTGACTTATAATGGTTTACTTTTACACATTGTGACTTGGATGGAGAGTTGTCTCATTGGCACTCATACCACATCTTCGTATTTCTATATAGCTCCAAACGTGACTACTATCCACCAAGTGCATGAATATTAACATGTTAGATTGCCTGTGTATAAGCCTTTTAAACTGTATCGCTCCATTTAACTTCTATAATTTGACAGCAAGAACATTTCCCTTTGGAAGTGCGCCATTCTTCAATTATGTGGTACGTACATGTACGTAGAGAAGGCAAACCAATAAAACAAATTCTCTGCATGCAATGAAAGACAAACTGGGAATCATTTAAACGGTTATAAAGTTTAATACTTCGAAAAATCAATGGAGAAAAACAGTTATTACAGATTTAAACATGCAATGAGATTTTATTGATAACAGTAATTTCATTTTGTACTATAAAAATATATCACCTTAACGTATTATCGAAACTCTTTTCTTTTACCCAATGGACCTTTTTTTCACTTTTCTCTCACATACATATTGTAGAAAGTATCAATATGAATTAGATTAACAGATTACTGTCGTCATATTCTCGTAAAACGGGAGCCAATTACACAGGGGACATAATATTTTCTTTTACGAGTTAAGATTTTCAATACCTAAGTGTATTATTTGTCAATCACAGCATTTAAAAAGTCATAAACTACAATT